TATGAACTGTGTATGGAGTTTTAATTTTCTAGTATCTACATTTTAAAAACTAATAAGAAACAAATTGAATTAACTTTAATCATATACTTTATTCAAATCAGCAGATCCACAATATTATTTTAACATGCGATTAGTGTGAAGAATTATTACAGATGTTTTTGCATTCTCTTTTTTTTTCATACCAAAGCTAGTACAGAGTCTCCCCCTGTGCCACATCTCTATGCACACTGGTCACATTCCAAGTGCCTTGTAGCTACCCATGGCTCCGGGCCAGCATTGGACAGGGTAGGGATGGACACTTCTGAGTCAGGAAAGGAAGATGGACAGAGATGTAGGAAGGGGGTCCCATTCATAACTCCAGGGCTGTCTTTAGTGGCTCCCCCTCTGGGACAGCACAGCTGTAAATGTGTCGGTGAGGCCAGAGGCTTCTCTGGACGGTGCACTAGAGGGTCTTTGTGCTCTTTTGGTTCAGCTGTACTCAGGATTTTCTATTCTATGCCTAAGTTTACTATTAAAATTATATGTTACATGTTATATGTACTTATATATAATAATTATGTATTTGTGGACTCTCTCCAACAATCAAGAAGATGGGGCAGGACAGAGCAATGTTTTGTTATATGTAGATTGCCATGAGTTGGAGCTGACTGGATGGCAGCTAACAACAACAATAATAATTATATCAGTATCTTAGGCTTACTGGCAGCATAATGGTTAAGCACTCAGCTGTTAACCAGAAGGTCAGAGGTTTGAAACCACCAGCCATTCCTCAGGAAAAAAAACGAGGCAATCTGCTTCATAAATATTACAGCCTTGGAAATCCCATGGGGCAGTTCTACCCTGTCGTATAGGGCCTCTGTAAGTCAGAATTGACTCGACAGCAGTGGGTTTGGTTTTGTTTGGAGAAGTGGATACAGATACATATTTCAATGAAAAGAAATAAAGCTGAGGAGAGCACCTGTTTTTGTTTTACCCATGAGTTCTTAGATCTTCAGTGTCAGCATGGTTATTTTTAATCTGAGCTTCACCAAGTTACGAAGTCACAAAAGAAGGTGTTAGCATAAAAAAATGCCCATATTCTTCTTATTAAGGTACCATGCTAAATGCTTTGACTTGTAATGAAAATATTATGACTAGTAAGTAGAAATATTGTGACAAGCCAGAGAATTTAGTGTTGCCATGGAATCCTTCCCTGTTCTCAGTCCTCGTCTCAGCGGGGTGGGCATGGAGGCCCTTCAGCAGCCTCTTTCCCTTGCTGTGAGTCTGAGCCATTTGCTGTCTGTAAGCAGACTTGGGCCACCACAGAAGGTACTGCCTGGACACTGCAGATGGGCTCTGGCCAGGCAAAGCACACCCTCTATCATTTAGGCTGTCGGAGAGAGCAAAAGTTTGAGAAGCTTTCAGAAATGACGGGTTTTGGGGGGTGGCTCTATCCTCCAGGCTGCCACTAGTGGAATGACAGTGAACAGGCCTATTCTGGCAGAATCCAGCCGGCTGTCCCTCTCCAAAGCCCGGCTGCTTAAGAATCATCAGGGAAAGCTGATGGCAACGTTTGCAGCTGGCAGTAGGACCACAGAGAAAGTTGTGGGATGGCCTGGAGATGTGAACCCTTTTCCTCTCCATCATTCTTCCTTGACTGTTGGTTTGTGGCTGAGGGTATTGGTGTTTGTGGAGAATGGTGATCAACCAGAACTTGCAGGGCAAGGGGCTTGCCCACTAGCAATGAGGGAGCCTTGCTGAACTGTGCAGGGTGAGACCTGAACCTGATGGTTTGCTGGGGAAAGAGAGAAGGAAAAAACAAAACCTGTGAAGAATATGAACTTTGCTTAATTCTGCTTAGGGTCATTTTGATGATAAAGAAAGAGGAGCATTACTGCCACTGGAAAAACACAGCCTTTCTTTACTTCTTAAATTTTTCCCTCAACTGTCTTGGGGTACTTTTAGAGGATGTCCTGGGAGCCTTAGTTTGGTCAGTTTCTCAGAATTCTGAAAGAGCTTGAGATGCCCTGGGTCATCCCCAGCCCATGAGGAAACTGGGGTAGCAGTTTGACCCTGACTGGAACCTTCTCCCTCCCTGGGTTTGCTGTGCATCTCTGTCTTGGTGCCTGTCTGAGTTACTGCTCCTTCCCTTCTACTGCACAGTGGCTCTGGAGGCTGACAGCCCTCTCTACCTGCCCTATAAGACTCTGGTCTCCACACTTGGAAGCATGGTGTTCAATGAGGGAGAGGCCCAGCAGCTCATCGAGGTCCTGTCGGAGAAAGCTGGCATCGTTCAGGACACCTGGCACAAGGTAGGCCACCTCCCTGCCACAGGGTGACTGCTTCAGTGAGCAAGGGCACTCCCCCTACCTCTTCTTTCTGGAGCTAGTGAGGAGCCCTTGTTACCTGGCGTGGACACTCCAGCCTCCCTGGGAGATGTTCATGTTCTAGGCAAGGAGTCTGCAGGTGGCATGCTGGATCCAGGAACCCAGCTGGTTTGTGCCAGAGCTTGGAACTCTGTAAGGAGCCCTGTATGTGCCCAGAGCATCCCTCTCTAATGTCCCTCGGGTGCTTCTGATGATGGCCTGCTCCCTCTTACTCTTCCGACAGTGCTGCATGGTACATATGTATTTCTTGGCTGGAGAATTTTGTGGTACCCTTTAGTGGTTATAGATGTTCTGGGGTGTTCTGAGAACCAGGCTTGGTAGCCCCTGCCCTAAACATCTTGAGGTGAAGAGCTCCTCACTAAGCATCAGAGGATCTCCTAGAGAGAGTGACTGAGAATGTCAAATGACCACCTCTCCTCCATGCTCACCCCTTTTGTCCCTCAGCCATCGAAGCCATCTAGTGGGAAACATCATACTCCTAGAAATTTCCCCGGATTCCCTGATACATTGCGAATATTGGCAAGGCGGGGGAGAACCTGCCTATCTGGAAGCTCCTGCTCTTACCTCTTCCAGCTTCTGCTGCCACTGGGGGTCAGGGCCTGGTTATTGAGAGGACAGCAAAGGTGTCTGTTCTGTTTCTGCTAACGTCCTTTGTGGTATTTCCAGGCCACTCAGAAGGGTGACCCCATGACCATTCTGAAGCGCCAGCTGGAAGAGAAGGAGAAGCTGCTGGCCACCGAGCAGGAAGATGCAGCCGTTGCCAAGAGCAAGCTAAGGGAACTCAACAAGGTATGGCTAAGTGCACTCCTTATCCGTGAGTCCATCCTCATCTTCTGAGAGCCCCTTGGGTCATGAGGCCAGGCCTGACATAATGGAGTGGTGTAACAAATAGTGGTCCCCAAGAGCTTATGGGCAGTGTGTCGTTCTGTTGAATATAGGGTCGCTGTGAGTCCGAATCAACTCGACGGCACCTAAGAGCAAGAGCTTATGCCTTGTGTTTCTCAGAGGTGGTGGTTATAACCCCCTTCTTGGTGGTTACACGCACATCCAGAACATACGTGGGGATGGTTAGGGACTTCAATTTATGGTCAGGATAAACCAGAACTAGCTTTCACCAATGGTTCCTGTGAGAAACTGTCTCTTCTAAGTGTGTACCCAGAAAGGAGGGAGCACAGCCAACCCAAGGCTGTCTTCTGGAGAATCAGAACAAAAACTGACGGGAAGGTGTTGGAGGAGCTTACTGTCCCCCTTTTTCTGACGTCAGCGGAATGATCTTGCAGGAAACACCTTGCCCTTTACTATCAGCTGGTGACTTGACTCATAAAATTCATGCACAATAAATGATATCCAGGGATGGACCAGAGCAGCGAGCAGCACCGCTTGTCTGCAGGGAGCCACTGGAAACCAGAATGTAGAGTGTCCCTCCCTCCCTCCCGCCTCTCCTTTCCAGAGGATTGCTGGACAGGGAGGGAACCTGACCCTGTGGGACTATAGCGTAGTCTTCTTTCTTTCCTAGCAGAGAGCTGTGGGTGCAGTCCCCTCTCCTACACCTGCTGCCTGCCCAGTCTGTCTACACTGAGAGGAAAGGCCTTGGGCAACAGGCACAAGGGACAGCCTGGTGCACCTCTCTCTAACTAGTTGTGAGGAATTGGACATGAGGCAGCCTGACCTCTGTCCAAAGTTCAGAGGGTGCAGCTGTGAGCCAGAAGGGAAATTCCATTTACTGGGAGCAGGCAAGAGGCAACAAGGAGCCTTTGGCATTTACTCTTTAAATGCTACTCCCAGAAGAAGAGAAGGAAAAGATCATGCCTTCCAGGGCCTTCTTAGAGCTCAGGGGACTTTTGCCTGTGTGGACTGCTGTCACATCTCCCAAGATCAGGCCATACTCAGCCTTCATGAGAACTAGGCTTGGGTGGTGGGTGAATGCAGGGCAGACTGGAGCCCCTTGCCTGGCTCACTCACTGCACTTCACTGCGCTTCCCTTTATCACTTCATGTTCAGTGACATCACACTGGAGTTTGATGTAGCCCGTGACAAGGGTGTTTATACTATGAAAATTGGCAAATGCTACAAATCAGACCAGACTCCCCTGGGTCCCTGCCCTGGGAGCTTGCCAATCAGCTGACCGCTGACTGAGAATCTTGATTTGGGGAGCCATTCTTCTGTACCCTCTTTTAAACAAACTGAGAAATTCCTATGAAAATGCAGTGAGCCCCCAAATAAAAAGCGAGAGAACATGGGGAGAGTACATTGCTAGGTGGCTGTGTAGTTGCCTGGTTACTACCTATGCCTGCCCCTGATTTAGGGTGGGTTTGAGATGTGCCAATGGAGTAGGGGCAGCCTCGGGTGTGGCAAAGGCTGTTCCTTCCCTGTAGCTGGAGTCTCTACCTACCTTGGGAAAGGTAGCAATTGAGAGGGTGACCCATAGAAGACGTCCCCTACCAATGTGCTAGTCATTTGTGTCCAAGCCCTCCCTCAGTGGTGGCCCCATGACAAGATTTCCAAAACCACAATGGCTGCTGATTCCCAGATACTTACGTCAGCCCTGAGTGCATTCCTGCTCCCTGCCCCTAATCAGGACAGTAGAATCTGTGATGCTAACCTCTCAGGGCCATGAGGTACTTGGGCGGCAGCACTTTGTTCTGCTACTGTTCTTCCAGTCCAGGATTCCCAATCTCTGAGGGGAGGAGGAGTTTGCTGATGTATCTAGCCAGGCCCGCCCTCCCTGCCTACATCTAGCTCACTCACTCCAGGGCGTCCTCTCTGGCTTACACATGCAGAGCTGGTCTTCTGATCTTCAGACCAAGGTCTGCAGTGTGAGCTCCACTTTCCTGCCCTGCTTCCTCTGCCTAGGCCTTTGTACACCACCCACTCCCATACCCACTGCCCCAGCCCCCTTCTGTAACCCAGACACTCCATGCCCTTTCTCATCTCCTCTGGGCCACTTTCTCTTATCCTTGAACACTTAGTTCCATCTTCCTTGTTTGAAACCTTCTAGCACCCCCACTTTTCCCTCCTAGAGCAATGGGCTGCTAACCAAAAGGTCAGTGGTTCAAACCCACCAGCTGCTCCGTGGGAGAAAGATGAGGCAGTCTGCTTCTGTAAAGATTTACAGCCTTCAAAATGCTATATGGCAGTTCTGTTCTGTCTTACAGAGTTGCTGTGAGTCAGAATCCACTCTATATGGCAGCGAGTTTGGTTTTATAGCACTTAGATCTTTGTTGTAGTTATGTTGTTATTAGACTGTGAGCCCCTGGAGAGCCAGCACTCTCCACATGCCTCTATGTAGCCCTGCTGAGCATGCACTTGGGAGCAAGTGGCCAGGAAGCTGAGGCTGCTCATGGTCTACAGGAAGCACACCCTGACCTCCTATGTCCTCTGCTTGTAAGTGATTAAATGGTTGTGGTTCATGCATTTAGCCCTTGCTCTTCCCTGTGCCTCTGGAGTTTATGGACACTTGAGTCCCAGCAGCCCTGGAGAGTTTGTTATACAGAGTTGATGGGCTTGTTTTATTCTTGTATTGTGTCTCCTAGCCCAATCCTGTTGAGAAAAATTATGTAAGAAAATAAGTTACTGAAAATATTTAAGTTCTTTTTAACTTAAATCCACATGACCTGGTGAGATTAGGAGGGTCTGTGTTTTATCTTCTGGTTCCCCGCATGTTCTCTTTGAACCTGTGATGAGGTTTCTATAGTTCACAAAGAGGGTTTTGCCTAATTTGTTTTCTTGGAGTCTGAAGTTGAAGGCATGATCCAGGCACAAAGAACCTTTGACATTGTCTACCAGGTGACAGACAGCCCCAGTGGACTTGAACATCCCAGAGCACCTCCTGGCCCTCTGGGAATCTCCCATGCTTCAGGCAGAGCTCTGGGGATGTATAGCCAGGAAGGCGTAGCCTTTCTGGAAAACGTTGTGTTTTCCTCCTTGCTCCTCCGGGGACCCTTTCTTTGGTACCTCTGTCCTGAGCAGCTCTTAGACAGAACTCATCTTGTGCCTTCTTGGATACTTGGGCCTCAGGGCACTAGAGGAGATCAGACTCTGAGCCAGAGTGAAGTTATGGAGGCCTCCAACAAAGGGTGTGCGCTAGCAGGAGTGGGAAGTATTAGTGCTGCAAGTCCTATGCTTCCATAGACTGCCCCAGCCATGGGAGCTCACACTGTGTGAAGCCTACAATCAGCCTGGTGACAGCTCCTGAAAGTGCAGCAGAGTGTTGTTGTGGAGCCTGAACATGGGTGACAGTGCTAAGCCTTGTCTCCCAGTTGAGTCAGCGAAAGATGGATTGATGCTTCACCCCCACCTTTGGGACGCTGTGTAAGAAGATAAATCTGACCCTTGCAATTAAATTAAGAATTTGATAGGCAGAAGGAAGAAAAAGAAACCACAGAGGGCTGGGAAGAATGGGCCTTTCTCTGTCCTTTCACAAAGGAAGGGCCAGTCCTCTTGAATGCTGGTGGCCTTGAGACTCTGACCTGGGAGACTAGAGCTTGGGGTTCTGAACTATGGCCAGGGGCAGCCCAAAGCTGGGGAAGGGTGTCCCCGGACACTTCAGGACCTGTCTCTGGGGACCGGAAGTGGCAGGCAGAAGAGGGCTGGAGGGCAGCCTATGTGAGGCTCTACTGCCTCTCCTCCGTGTGGCCATAGGCTCTCCAGGGCCTCTGAATTCTGATTACCATTTTCAGAAGCTGCACTACCTATTTCTCCAGGCTATTGTCAGGGCAACCCAGCAAAGAAGGGCCAACTTGGAAAGTGATTCCTGTTCTGCTCACATGTGGAAGCTCTATTAACCCTACCATACCCTGCTCTGCCCAGTGAGGGCCACTGGGAGCATGCTCTTAGAGGATACAGCATGGTGGAGTCCTAACCCTGTTGAGGCACTTTCCTGTGTCCTGAGAGACTTTAGGGGCCAGGCTCAGCATGCAGAGTCTTGTCACTCTCCCCTTCCTGACTTGCACAGTCCCAGGTTCAGATCCCAGACCTGTCGCTTATAGCTGCTCCCAGCCCTAGACAGATTTGTTATCTCCAAGGTTCAGAGTTGTGAGCTCTAAAGTAGAAATGATAATCCTCACCTCACTGAGGATGAAATGAGAGGGGTGCTTTTCCAGAGTGGGCACCTTGTTAGCTACCCCTCCCCTTTCTAAATTAGTGAGGAGCTCCTTAATTTAGACTTATATATTCTTTTTGGCCTCTCACCCTGGGTAGGGCTTAAGGGACAATTGTGTTTGAAAAACAGGGCCAGTGGGTCTTCAGGATTCTAGGGCCCGTTGGACACTCGGAACCACAGTGGCACCTGGTGACCACCCTGATGAGCACAGCCTCATCTCCCCTAGCCTCCAGTCCCCTCCCAACTCTGGCATGAGGGCACTCTGGCTCTGGCCGGAGGGCACTCTGGCTCTTGGCCTGGGCCTCCCTAGGGCTCTCCCTGGTGAGGGAGACGTCTTCTCCTACTTCTTTGGTCCACCACTCAGGTGGTAGAGGGGGCAGGGTCTTGAATCTCAAGGGACATTTGTACCCATTCATCCATCCAGCCGGGCCCACGGGACTCCTGCCAAACTATTGCCAGTCTGGCTGGAGTAGCAGACAGGGTGCTCCCCCACCCCAGGGCTCATGATGTCAAGTACCCTTGCTTGTTTTGTCACCCTGCATCCCATAGCTTCTACCACTGTCATTCTTTTTAAGGTGACACAGGCCAGCTCTCTCTACCTGCACTCTGCCCTTTAAAGGTGCTGGTCCCCAAGCCTTGCATCCCTCTGGGCTGGGCTCTCCAGAGGTAGGCTCATACCCTGGCCATGGTGGGACAGCAGCTCACTGTGTACCCACCTCCTGCCATTAGGGCTCTCTGCCTTCTCATCCTAACACAGGGTTCAAGTCAGAGTGACTCACAGGTGCTTGAAGTGTGCTTATCACGGGCTGAACCGGTGCCCCGGAGAGCTCTGGCAGTGCCAGTTCTGCCACCTCCCCAGTGGCCATGTCAACAACTTGCCCATAATTACACAGGGCAAGTAGGGCTACCCAAGATCCCTTATGGCCCCTTGGTTGCTTTCTTCTGCACTGAATCTGGTCTGAGAACCATGCATGAATGCAGGAGGAGCTGACAACACTGTTCTCAAGCCTCCTTCCAGCCACATGATACTCCAGTATCCCAGGTATAATAGACACCACCAGCAATGGTCTTGGTTCCAGCTGATAGATAGACTCTTACCCCTGCCTTGGGCCCCAGTGACAGTACCCATCTCTTTATCTACCCCTCTCCCTACTTGCCTAGGAACTGGCTGCAGAAAAGGCCAAGGCAGCAGCTGGGGAGGCCAAGGTGAAAAAGCAGCTGGTGGCACGGGACCAGGAGATTGCGGCGGTGCAGGCACGCATGCAGGCCAGCTACCGTGAGCACATGAAGGAGGTGCAGCAGCTACAGGGCAAGGTGAGCCATGGGGCTGGGACCACAGAGGGTGGTGCTGAATCAGGGTAGGTTTTGGTAAGGGAAGGTCTGGAGCTGTTCCATGTGGCAGGGCAGCACCAGGCAGCCCATTCCATGAATGTTTGTTTGGCGTTAACCAGGAAGGTAAGGTGTAGAATACATCACAGGGAGCATTTTTTCCATAGTGCCTAGTCTAAAGCAGCTGGCTTGTTGCTAAAGGGGCAGGGAGGCCACATCTTCTGACCTCCTCTAAACCCACAAGAGGAAGACAGAATCACCATCAGTAGCCCAAGGCCTACTCCTGAGAAGCCAGACATGCTGCCTCCCTCCAGCTCTTTCACCAACCCTGACACCAGCCGTTCCTCCCGCAGCACTCACCACCTTTCTGCTGGGTTCAGTAATTCACTGCAGTGGCCACACAGAATTCACAGATTATGGGGTTTATTAGGGAAGCAGCAGGCTACAATTCAAGTTCGGGAACAACACTCAGTCTCTCTCGGCCCTTTGTCTCTCAGCCAGCGGTCTCTCTCAGTCTCTCTTCCCACAGTGCGTGTCTTTTGGTGTCTCCCTCTTAGCAATGCACATCTCTCAGTGTCTCTTTCTCAGCAATACATGTCTCTTGGTGTCTCTTTCTCGGCAGCATGTGTCTCTCAGGAGTGCGTGTCTCTCAGCAGTACGTCCTTCCCAGCCAGCAGTCAGAGAGAACTCTGCCTCTAGGAGGCCTCCTTTTGAGCCTGGCAGAGTAGCCAAACTAGCCAATCATAACATCAGAATTCTAAAAACCTGAGAGAGAGCAGGCCTCCCAAAACATTGCTTTGTGCCACTCCCAACAGAGATACTCCAGGTGGATAACTTTTACAGTCAGGAGCTCCTCAGTTGCTCACAGCAAATTCCACCACAGAGTTTACAAAGACTTATGGCTAGAAAAGCCATACCAGGTAATTTACTGCACCGCACCTGTGTCACCATCTCCTGGATGACCATCTCTGGAATAGGATATCAACCTCCCAGGGAGCCCAGAACAGGACTGTCCACATTAGGAGGGTCTATAAAACAGGAGTCTTGAGAGTTGAAAAGCTCCAGTGTCAGGTGCTCAAGGCCAGTGCTGGGCAGCTGCCTCTCTAGCATGACCCTCAAACTGGGGCCCTGGGTTCTTGTCTCTGTAGCCTGCTTTATGTGCTTCCTGGTCTGACCTCCCCCTGCATGTCTCAGGAGGGCAGTGGTAGGTTAGTGGGCTGAAACATGTCTTCCTTGGGATGATTGTAGGCTCTGGGTTACAGCTGTGTACTTGACCTGGCTACCTCAGTGGCTCAGATCAGGGGTGTCTGAGGCCTCAGGCCTCTTGTTTTATGAGAACCTCTCAACCTTTAGGTGAAGCAAGCAAAGCCTTCCTGGAGCTTATAAGGCAAGTGCCTCACCTGCTCTGCTCTGATACCATCACTGTTGACTTTTCAGGTTCGAACTCTTCAGGAGCAGCTAGAAAACGGCCCCAACACTCAGCTGGCTCGTCTGCAACAGGAGAACTCCATCTTGAGGGATGCCTTGAACCAGGCCACAAGCCAGGTGGAAAGCAAGTAAGTCAGAGCTCCTGGCCAACAGGAATGGGTGCATCCTGGAAGGGTTCCAGAACCCTAGGGAGGACCCTCATTGAGCCTCTTGCAAGGCTGCCTCGGTGCACCCTGGTTTTCTTATGGGTCTGCAGGCTGGTAATGCTCTCGAGATAACAAAGACGCCAGAAGTGGTCAGTGCAGGCACATCAGGCCAAGAGAAGTCATAGCACTGTGAGTTGGGAGGAATGCAGCTGGCTTCTCCAGGGCCAGTGTGGTCATCTTGGCCTGCATGGCTGCCGTGGTGTAGTAGACAGTCCTGTCACCTCCCTATTTTATCTGGTGCCCTCACTGGACAGTGGTCACTGCCTTGAACTTCTGTGCTACTGCAGGAAGCCATCATCCTTGTCCCATCTCACTGCTAAGGAAGTAGATGCTGAGCAGCCCCTCTCTTCTTCAGTCAGGTCACTTTCTCTGGCTCCTGGACTTTGCTCTTGGGTTTTGAGACCCAACGTCTGATGCACAGAGTTGAAAGATCTGTTGTGGGAAGAACACAGTGCCCCAGGATCCTGCTTTGGGAGGCTTAGCCCCGAATTTACCAGAGAACGGGTCGTGGAGACACTTGTGCTGTCTGTCTGCTGAGTCCCACTGAGTTGACTGCCTTTCAGGGCCTGTTTCCAGTGCTTTATCAGCACTGAGGAAGCGCACCTGACCCTTCCTTGGTAATGCCTAGGCGTTCCTGGGAGCTGTGGGCCACACTGGGGCATATTCACTCTGCTCTGTCTCTGTGTTAGGCTACAGAGATAAAGACTCCAGTAAAACATACACAGGCCCAACATACCAGGCCCTGTAGCAGTGGTTTTGGGAATGATTCCACAACTGAGGCAGCTATTGATGAAAGAGCAGATCTCCTGGGGGAAAGGCCCAGAGCACCAGCCTGGCCCAAGGGCAGCTTCCCAGACTGGAATGTACTTACGTGAGTCCTCTTCCATCCATCACTGGGCCGGGTGACTGTCTTGCAGGCAGAATGCAGAACTGGCTAAGCTCCGACAGGAGCTCAGCAAGGTCAGCAAGGAGCTGGTGGAGAAGTCAGAAGCCGCACGGCAGGAAGAGCAACAACGGAAGGCTCTGGAAGCAAAGGCAGTTGCCTTTGAGAAGCAGGTTCTGCAGCTGCAGGTAAGTCAGGAGCAACCACCTTGGTGGCCTTGTGTCTGTGTAGGGCATGAGCCAGGGCTTCCCTGGCCACCAGGCCATCCTTTCTTAGCTGTGGCTGTGAAGGCTTGGGCCATTGGTAGGGCTAGACTTGAATCTTCAGCCTTAACCTCATTGATACCACTAGAATGTAATGGAGCTTTCTCTGTGCTAAGCATTGTTCTAAGATCATCTGAGTACTTTATAAGCTTTTACTCAGTTAATTCTCATTGTTACCCTCTAAGGTTGTTGTTGTTGTTGTTAGTGCCGTTGAGTTGTTTCCGACTCATAGCGACCCCATGCACAGCAGAACGAAACACTGCCC